AAATTTTATCGTAGCGCAACGGTTGAGCACCTCTCATTATACCAGTAGGTCAGCTGTTCGATTCTCGACAAATGCAATTTTTCCATCTTATTTTCTAATGAAACGATGTCGTTTCAGAGTTTCAAAACGATGTCGTTTAGACTCAACGGAGAGTTCTAACGGAAATTTAACACCGTGATCGTCTGGTTAACGGAAATTTAACGGCATGCCTGAAATGGCCAAGTCAAACTAACTTCACTATTTTGTCCAAAAGTCAACCTAAACTTTATGATTTAAATGACATTTCGAAAGTTCATGCTTTTTTCGTCCCAAATTTGAAAGTTCGCGAATTTTTCGACATTTTTCTGATCATCATATCTAGCTATAACCATATTCTTATACTATCACAACATCTCATGCATATCACAATCATCATCATCAATCAACCTATTCTCTAACCAAACACATACAAATTTCGGCTATAACCTCATAGCTATATATCGAGTTCCATGGATATTTAATGGCAGTTTGGCCATGGGTAGTAACAAATCATATATGTTGATGTATCCACGATATAGTCACGAATACTCTTTGGCTATCATTTCCACCGAATTTCCATATCTAAAATATACATGACTACTTGCTATGATTTTCCATAATCTTATTCGTTGCTAGTAACCCCAATTTTCAACAGAAAAATGTGACTAATCAGCCACAATTATATTATGCTAATTACTAAATATGTGGCTAGTGTGTAGGTTGTGACATTATTAGTCACCAAGACAAACATATTTATACTGAATAGTTTTAATTAAAAATAAATATCAAAGTTCAGCAACTAATTTAAATACAAAATTAGGTAAAGAAAACATTAACGTATTAAAATTCAAAATAAAAAGATTGAAAAATATATATCAAATGCGCAATCCTCAAAGAAGCCCGAGACTAATTAGCTAGACATGTCAACGAGGTTGATTCGCGAATTTTAATTGTGGATTATCTCACCATTTAACAAGGAGTTAGAACTAGACGTACAATACAATAATTAATTCGATAAAATATTTTTTTTTAAACAATATTAATATTTTTTATAACTCAATTGATCTCAACTACAAATAATAATTTTTTTTTAGTGAATGTTTTTTTTTTTTGGTGAAAAGTTTTTAGTGAATGTTTGACAGTTCTAGAAATACATAATCTTAAATATTAAAAGTATATAACAAAAAGTTTTTTTTTATTTATAAAACAATGAACCACGAAAAACAAAATATTTTGTGGATATATATTTTATTAAGTCTCGGTTCTTCTTCTCCAACACCGTCAAAAAGTGAGAGATAGGCACGTATCAATCTCTCGTGCTATTAATTGATCTTCAAGTCCGAATTTTGTTCATCCCCAAACATGAAGACCATTTCACAGTTAGGCCTAAATCCAAATTCGACTAGTCGCACAAATTTTGGATTCTATGTTGTTGATTTATTCGTGAAAAATCCCAAACGGGTAATGCACATAAGGTGTTCGATAGAATTCGCCAATGCTCAAAATTTGGGTATCTATTTGTTTTTTTGTTCCAAGCCTTGTCACGTGGCTCTCACGTGATAAGCTGTTATATTCGTTGATGTTCCCGCCTCGACTCTGTTTCTTCTCGCAACCACATATCTCTCTGAAGCAGAGATCAAGAAAAAAAGCAAGAATCTTGAGTTGAGAATTGTAACCATGGAGCTTACTACTTTCCTGGAAGATGCTAAGAGAGTTAAACTCTTCGAAGACGCAAAAGATATCTTCGCTAATGGAGATCACATCAAGGCCTTGGAGATAATCGAAGATATGATTTTAGTCCATAAGGAAGACAAGAACTCGTGGGTTCTTCATAAACAACAAGGTGATATGTTCAATGATCTAGGGGCAAAAGCAGAGAACCCGTACTTCGATTTCGCATACATGTTGGGTTCTGTAGGATGTATGTCGAAAGATGTGTTGTTATCACGACCTTGTGCACATGGACTCTACTATTTGGCTGAAGAGTTTGGGTTAGTATTGTATTACAAAAAATGTGTGACTGTAGCAAAACAGGGTTTATCTGTTCCTTTCCCAGATGACTCAGAGTCTTTTGCTCAAGTGATTTTGGAAGAACTAAAGAAAGATATGAAGGAAGACCTGGAGAGTTTAATCAAAGATGCAGAGTCCGAGATCGCTGATTCCAAGACTGTAGAACTGAAGGGTTTACTACAACAAGACTGTGAGCCAGAACTTTTGGACTCAAAGAAAAGTCCAGCGCCGGTTAGTAATGAGTTTAAAGGATTGAGGTCGTTTTGGTTAGGTTTGGATGTTAAGGTCAAAAGGGATTTTTTGAAAGTAAGCATTGCAAAGCTTATAAGTTTTGTCAAGGGAGTACATCATAGACCGGGACGAGATGCTTTGAAGCGAATTCTCGATTCTGCCAGGGAAGACAGAAAATGGACATTCTGGATGTGCCGAACTAAATGTTCGAAGAAGTTCTCTAGTGCTGAAGAATGTAAGAATCATCTTGAACAAGAACATGCTGCAGATTTTAAACCTTCTTTGGAAATGAATATAGCCAAAAGGATAGGGAAAGACTGGGCTCGTAAGATATCGGTTGGAAGTTGGGAACCAGTGGATACAGTAGCTGCCATTGAAATGATAAAAAATCGGCTTGCAGACGTGAAAGCGTTTTCATATAAGAATGGATGGTCCAAAGAATGGCCTTTAGCTGCGGATAAAGAGCGCAGTAAGTTACTCAAGGAAATAAAAAATCTCCTTGTGATGTTTTGTGACCTAAAAATTCTCCCTTGTAACATTCGAGACTGGGTGAAGCATTATTCGGTTAAGCATCTTAAAAATCTTAACGTTTCCGAACAGAGTCTTGTCGATTCTCACCTAGTGGATACACCTCAGAGTATTTGTTTTCTGGAATGTCATAACCTCAGTTATATCCTAAAATTACTGAAACGCATCAAGTGTGAAAGGGATGATGGTACAAATCTAGTTTGCAGAGCAGTGGACAGTATCTTGGGTTCTACTCGATCTAAAGAAAAGATTGACTTTGACCCGCAGTTCTCATTTCTGCTTCTGGACAGAAGATTGCTGAAAAGCAATAATGCTCCATTTGTTGATGAAGGGGAGATCAATGTTTTCGATCCCAATGTTCACTACGCCAAGGCACATGCTCAAGGAGATGATATCGTATCATGGTTAACTGACTACAATTCAGTAGAGAAGACTTTTCCCAGACCTATCAGGGAACATAATCTTGATATCTGGGTGGCTATTCTGAGAGCTGTTCAGTTCACATGTAGGACTTTGGGAACCAAATATGCAAAGAAAATGCAGATCTTTGATTATTTTGCAGCCTTTCTTGTCGCCGAGAAATTGTGTAAGAGCGAATATGAAAGGAGAAGAAATCTTAAGGAAGATAAGTGGAACAGCTATGCATCTCTCCTATGCAATAGATGCGAAGAGGGTTTCCCGGGAAATTTCGTCAAGACAAAATTATTTTTGTGTGCAGTGAGAGATATTCTCGAAGAAGCTTCGGATCTGACATTTGATCTCCCCGATATTGAAGGTTGCATGAATCTTATAAGTGAGCTTAAAAGTCTCAACGATGATATAGTGCTGAAATCCTTAAGATGTCTGAAATCAGTGGTCACCTTCAAGGTTCATTCATGATTTTTAATTTTCATTTGCAACATAATGACATAAAATTGCCATCTTAAAGTATATACATGACTTACAGATTCTGCTAATCGATTCAAAGATTTTGCTGGTAGATAATTCAAGGATTAGTTTGCTGAAAAACCTCACCAGGCTTTCTATTTTTGACAACCGCACTTACATCCTTCAACTACTGAAACCTTTCTTGCTGGTTAGTTTGAAGCTTCGGTTATATAGACAGAGATTTCCTTTTCCGTTTTATTTGGCCTTTGAATTGTTTCTTATATCTTATCATGTATTTTCTCATCAAGAATGAAATTGTGAATATGGAATCCAAAGCCAAGTCAGATGCAGCAGAAGCAGATCTTTTACTCGAGGAGGAGAAGAAGAATTCAAAGCCAAGTCAGATACAATTAAAGAAGACGAAAAATAAAAGCAAAAAGGTCTTGGAAGTTCTAAATTCTTAACTTTGTTTTTCGAATTTTTGGTTAATCGGTTGTAAGAATGAATGGTCTTCATGGCACAACAGAGAACTTCAACGAGCATGTCTAGTCCTCTCTCTAAGCCTGGTGAACAGTAAGTACCTCAAGTGTCTTTTTCGCATGTTGATAAATTGAATTCGGGTTTTCTCTGAGCCAACCGTGTTCTTACATGTCTAGTAAACTTTCTGTCAGCCTTGAACCGGATAGTACGTCTCCAACAGTGGAGGAAGATTCTATGGAACCAGGTGATACTGTCAATCAAGAGGAAGGTACTAGAGTTGACCCTGGTTCTAGAAGATCTTCTCAACTGATAAACAGTTTGAGTTATATGTATAATTCTTTTTTCTTTCATTCCTTATCTTCAAGTTATGAAAAACATGCCTGGAGAAGATTCACAGTCGGAACATTTGGAACCAGCACTTGGAGAAGTTTCAGCCAGATACAATTCAGCTCTTGACATGACACTGAAGGTAAAGCAGTTACCAACAACAACAAGATTCAATACCTAAACTCTCGTCTACTGATTTATTTCATTGCCTATCTCTTTACTTCCAAACTCTCCTTGAAAAGTTCACAAAAAAATGGTGTGTTGCAGGCCCTCTTGAACATTAAGATTCTCAAAGAAGATTTGATGCACAATATGCAACCGTTTCAACACCAAGTTCCTTCCGCGCTACAAAATTTCTTTACTGCTTTTGTGTCAGAGGTGATAAAAACTGAGGGAGTCTACAGTTGCCTCTTGAGCGACTTACTTGCTCTCCTAGAAGAAGTTCTCTCCATGGTTCGTGTGGAGAAGATAGTCTACTAAGCATGGTATTATTATTATTTTTGTCAGTACCCTTAATTTCATTGTAAAGGATTCTATTTTCTACTCTTTTCAGTGGAGTGGTGCTGCTGAGGTTCTTGTGGCCATCCTTGAGTTTTGGCATTGCTGGAAGAATGCTGAAAGAGAAAGCTTGGTAACTCGTCTTTTTACGTTGGAGGAAAATGAAAGAATGTGTTGTAGAGAATGCAGAAAGAAACCAAATTACCCAGAACAAAGTTCTTATGGTATTGTTATGGCTGCAGATTCAATCAGAGACTTGAAGGTATGTTTCATTTATTTCCCTCTTTATGTTTCCTACAGAAACTGATACTTCCCTTATAAGGCTGTTCTGTGGTTTTATATATGCAGAGTACTTTTGGGAATATTGAATTTGTGGATATCTTTAAGGTGATCCGCATGGAAGATACAGTGTGTTGTGACATTAAAACCGGAGGCTGTGGAATAACAAACTTTGTTCATCACATTATAAGTAAATGCCCACCTATCTTCACAATCGGTAAGTGTTGACCACCATGATTGCGATCTTATGTACTCATTTCATATACTATGCATATGATAAAGCAATGTTGGTGTTTTGTTGGTTTTCAACATTAGTGTTAGAATGGGAGAAGAGTGAAACTGAAAAAGAAATATCTGAAACAACAAAGGCTTTGGACTGGGAGATAGATATCAGTAGACTTTACGAAGGCTTAGAACCAAACACTAACTACCGGCTTGTGTCAATGGTAAAACATCTAAAACAGTGTCACAATTTTTTTTTGTTGCTATTGTTCTTCTGTACATCTCTGTTACAGTCTCAGAATATGATGCAGGTTGGTTGTGGTGAAGAAGAGGAACACATTTGCATAGTTTATGAAAAGAACCGTTGGGTCAATCTCAGACGTGATGCTTTAGCAGGAGAGGTAAGACGAAACAGTTGCCCTTTTTCTTCCTTGAGTTGAATAGTGAATTTAGATAAGCCAGATAATGATTGATATATGTGTGGTGATGCCATAGGATGTTGGTGACTGGAAGAGTGTGGTTAGATTCTGTGGAGAAAGAAAGATTCGGCCAGAAATTCTGTTTTACGAAGTTGTCCGATCAATGGCCTAACAAGTACAAGTGTTTCAAAATGAAAACTCATCATCAATGTATAGAATAGCGAAATGTTTCAATTGAAAATAATATGATTTGTCTGGATGTACAACCGGATCTTATGATATAATGATCACAAGTTCACAACAACACATTTATATACGTGCATAGGAGACCAAGTATGAGTCACAAGTAAGAAAGCGAATATGGGTATGGCTGGCGACTTTTGGATATCTATTTGTAGTTCATGTGTGTGTATTTGATCTCGTATGATCACAAGTTCATGTGTGTGTATTTGAACTCTCTGATATTGCTACGAGGGTTTCAGTGTGAGTCATCCACACCAATTTAGTAATTGGTGGATCTTCCCCACCGGCTTGGACCTTATATGAAGACAAGAGTCAGTGAGTGAATGTACACTTGATCATATATATAAAAGTAAGGTTTGACTCTTTCTTTATTGGACTATTTGGTAAATTTTTAATACCTTTTTAAAAATATATAATATATTAATCTCTAATTAACTCACTTTAAAACTCATATGTAACTCCACATTTAAATTCATTTGTATCTCCTCCACTAATATACATTAACTATTTGAAAATTGTATTGACTATAGTTTAAACTCTACATTTAAACTCAATTGTAACTTCTACCAATCAATAATAATTTGTAACTCTTACTCAATAATTATAAGAGTTTCACAACTTCTCATCTATAAAAATTCATTGTCTTATCATCCTCCACCATATTTTCAAATATGTAAATTTACTTTATTTTATGTTCTTGCATGAGTTAAAAAAACTTGTGTCATAGTGATGGTAAGAGTTTGATTGTAATATTTATTTTTAGAGATTATATGATATGTAGTTTATATTGTATTTGATTTTATTTTGTTTATTTTATTTTTAGAGATTATATGGTAAATATGTAGTTAATATTGTATTCAATTTTATTTTGTTTCTACCGCATTAGAAGAATATATTTCTTTCATCTTTATTTTTAAAATTCTTACTATCATGTTTATCTGTTTTCCTGATTAATTCTATGGAAGTTCAAAAGCTCACTATTTTAATATTCACACAACAAGTGAATCGAATTGAAATGATCTATCCTCCTTTTTCCCTATTGATATATGATTATTCTCTTTAAATACTTATTTATACAAAAGCATTATTCGATATTTAAACATTTTTTAAGGCATTTCTCAAACATATGTTCTAACATGTACTTATATAAATATCATTATAGTATTTTTCAGCGTATTTAAGGTTTGTGGTTAAGATTACTTTTTCTAACAAAATTAAACTAATAAAATCAGCTAGATAATCCATAGCAAATGTTTAAATATCATGTTAATAAAAAACAGCAGATTTACAGAGAGACAAGGAAGAATTTTCAAGCTTCTCTTTATCTTTAATCTCTCAAAATGCAAATGTAAAAGCGGAGAATTTGGCGCGAAAAATTCGCACCGAACCGCATCACATCACATATGTAAACAACATTCCTCAAGAATGGTTCTTTTGAATTTTTAATTAAAAGTTGTTGACAAAAAAAATGTTAATAAAAAACATTTGAGAAACAATATCTTTAATGAAAAATGTACGATATCTAAATAAGTTAAATTTTCTTGAAATTGAATATATTAGAATTTAAAATTAATAAAATGTAAGAAGGTGTTAGATCTATCTGGAAAATACACTATTTTATAAATATGTTTTTTTTACGATATACAAATAATTTAAAATATTTCGAGCCGTAATAAGTAATGTTAAAAAGTTGTGCACTATAAACATATAAAAATTGGTGTGATAATATTAAAAACAGAATTTTCTTTTAGTTTTCATTCAAATTCATTTTTATAAGAAAAATGTAATAAGTCACGGGTCCTAATCTAGTTTGATAGAAAGTCTACTTTTATCATCTTTAATAGGGGTGGGCCGGATCCGGATATCCGGCTTTTTTAAGGTATCCGGATCCGGATCCGGATCCGGCCGGATCCGTCTTTTCATTATCCGGATCCGGATCCGCTCCACCCGGATATCCGGATTTAGGATATCCGTAAAAATAACCGGATACCCGGTGGATATCCGGATCCGGTTTTTTTTTTATATAAATTATTTTTTATTAATATAAAATTAAAGAAAAATATTTAAAAACAAATAATTTAACATAAATAATTAAAAATATTATTAAAAGTATTATTATTATATAAAAGATAATAAAAATTATTAATAAAATTTAAATAATAGTAATAAAATATTTAAAAAAATATTTAAAAATTTAAATAATAGTAATAAAATATTAAAAAATATTATTATAATATAAAATATCCTGGATCCGGACATCCGGCTTTAATTTTTCTATTATCCGGATCCGGATCCGGATCCGGCCGGATCCGCTTTTTCATTATCCGGATCCGGATCCGCCCCACCCGGATATCCTGTTTTTCGGAGCGGATCGGAGCGGATCCAGGATTGGATCCCGGATCCCGGATAATTGGTCTCACCCCTAATCTTTAACATAGAAAATATGTTTTGCAAAAAAAAGAAAAAAAAAAAAGAAAAGAAAATATGAATACTTTTAACCTATTTCACAAACTAATAATTTTATCAAATTATTGTTTACACAAAATATACAAAAAATGTTTTTATGTATATAGTGTATATATTATTAACAAATATGAAAGGCTAATTATAGAAAAACAATAAATATTCAAAACAAAGAAAAAGTATTGAGATTGTTTTGGAAGTAAATAATATGTGGTCAATCCCAATATTTTTATGTTAATGCTTATTCAAAACCTTTTTTTACCCAAAATATGATGTTGACAAATATGAAAGAACTCTTTATGGTAAAAAAGAAAGAAAAGAGTGGTATAATGAGATTTTTTTGGATTTATGAGTTCAATTCCAAGATTAATAGTTTTCTAAATAGGGCTTAGTTAAGGTTTCACAAAAATCTTAGTGACCTTCTTTCTTGTAGTTATATTAATTGTTTCGTCGTCCCCACAAAACACTATGGCATCAGGTATTTTTTTATATATTTATAATGATTGCAACTACAGGAGTTAGCTAGTTTTGATCATGTAAATTTTCAAAAGCGATAAACTGGAGAATATTGAGAGATTATCAAAGAATATGAAGTTTTAAAAATGTAATTTGGCATGTTGTAAATATGTGTGTGTGTGTGTTATAGTTAAATTTAAGTGGAGTTTGTGTATATATGTGCAGAGATCAAAGCAAGGATCAATGGCGGCCTAGAATGCTTTAATACATGTACGCCTTATTATGATGATTATAAATGCAATGTGGACTGTCTATCATCGGGGTACCCGGCAGGAGATTGTCATGCTGTGTCTCCTTCTCAACCTAAAAAATGTTGTTGTTATTAATTAAAATTGATGATCCGTTAATTTTCTTATGTTTTATTAAAACTTTTATCTATAACTATTAAAAGCATGTAGTTTAATTTCTCTTATTATAAAAATGCCATGAAATAAAAAACCATCTTTACATCATATCTTTTCTTAATCTAAACCATAATTCCGATTTGATTGTATTGGCGTCTGCGTTTTTATATCCTTGTATACTTATTAGGTCAATATCGTAAGTTCGTAACAAGAGTTACAGTTTGGAAGATTGGCTTCTAAGCCAAATGTTATGAGATCCAAACTCTAGTTTTTTTCTTTAAACGTCATTTTATTGGATTAGAATTTGTTTACATATTCATTAAACAAAATACTCATTAAGCACTCGAAACTCTAGTTTTATCATACTCCGAACTCTAGTTATATTTAAAATGGACTTACTTACCATCTCAAACTGAATCGTGTTGAGGGATTTAACACATGCAAGAACAAGTAATTAAAGGCATATAATGAAGATAAACAACAAATATAAGAAAGTGAAAAAAAAAAACAAGTGATCACTATATCAATGCGAGGACAATGATTAATCATTTTTTTTTTTTGGGCAAAACAATGATTAATATTCTTTATCTTTGAACATGAAACACTATACTATTGACTAACTCATTCTTGTGGTGCCGGATAATTTATTTATTTTCGTATATGTGTGTGCGCTTTTTTCTTTTCTTTTGACGTCATTTGTGTTTGTAAATTATATATAACGCAATTCTCAAATAAATAATAAATACATTTAGTTAGTGAATTTTTGAAAGCTCTAGCCTCTAGAACTATTAAAAGTAATACTAGAAAGCAATCTCAGACTGTTTCAAAAAAAATAAAAAATGGAGTAAATAATCTCAGACTCTTTCATTTCCACACGTACCTTCAAAAAGAGAGAGAATAGGCACGTGTCAATCTTCTCTCTTGCTACTTGATTCGTCGAGTCTCTTCTCTTGTATCGCCTCTTACTGCCAAAATCTTTCAAAGTCGAAATTTTGTTCATCCCCAAACATGAAGACCATTCTCCGTTTAGTTCTTAACACAAATTCGATTATTCACACAAATTTTGTTCATTTATTCTTGAAATATCCAAAACGGGTAATGCACATAAGTTGTTCGACAGAATTCCCCAATGGTCAATTTTGGGGTGTATTTTTATTTTTATTTTTTTTTTCTGTCATTTGAAGCGCTGTCACGTGCCTCTCACGTGATAAGCTGTTATATCCGTTGATATTCCCGCTTTTACTCTGCTTCTTCTTCTTCTTGCAAACGCATATCTCTCTGAAGCAGAGAGAGATCAAGAAAGCACAAGAACCTTGAGAGTCGTTTCTATGGAGTCTACTGCTTTTCCGAAAGATGCTGAGAGCGTAAAACTCCACGCAAAGGCAAAACAACTCTTCGCTAATGGAGATCACATCAAGGCCTTGGAGATAATCGAAGATATGATTTTGGTCAATAAGGAAGAGAATAACATACGGTTTCTTCATACGGAACAAGGTTACATGTTAACGAAACTATCGGAAAAAGCAGAGAACCTTGACTTAGATTTCGCATTCATGTTGGGTGCTGTTGGATGTTTTTCGGAATATGAGAAGTTATCACTACTTTGTGCACATGGATTCCACACTTTGGCTCACCATATTGGCTCAGTGATGTATTACAAGAAATGTTTGAAGAAAGCAAAACAGTGTTTATCTGTTTCTAACCCGAATGAAGACTCGGGCTCTTCTGTTACTCAAATGGGTTTGCGACGGAAAACACTTATGAACGAAACGGAAAAAGACCTGGAGACTTTAATCAAAAATGCAGTGACCGCGATTGCTGTTTCCAAGATTGGGAAACTGAAGGGTTTACAAGAAGAAGACTTTGAGCCAGAAGTTTTGAGGTCAAAGAGTAGTTCAGAGTCGGTTAATAAGGAGTTTAAAGGATTGAGGTCGTTTTGGTTAGGTTTGGATGTTAAGGTCAAAAGGGATTTTATGAAAGTAAGCATTGCAAAGCTTATAAGTTTTGTCAAGGGGGTACATCATAGACCGGGACGAGATGCTTTGAAGCAAATTCTCGATTCTGCCAAGGAAGACAGAAAATGGACATTCTGGATGTGCCGAACTAAATGTTCGAAGAAGTTCTCTAGTGCTGAAGAATGTAAGGTTCATCTTGAACACGAACATGCTGCAGATTTTAAACCTTTGAAAGAGGAGGATAGAATCAAGAGGATAGGGAAAGACTGGGCTCGTAAGATATTGGTTGGAGGTTGGGAACCAGTGGATACAGTAGCTGCCGTTGAAATGATCAAAAATCGTCTCGCAGATGTGAAAGCGTTTTCATATAAGAATGGATGGTCCAAAGAATGGCCTTTAGCTGTGGATGAAGAGCGCAGTAAGTTACTCAAGGAAATCAAATTCTTCCTTGGGATGTTTTGTGACCTTAAAATTCTCCCTTGTAGTGTTCGAGACTGTGTGATGCAATATCCTTTAAGGCATTTTGGAAAACTTGAAGTTTCCAAACAGAGTCTTGTCGATTCTCACCTAGCGGAAACACCTCAAAGTATATGTTTTCTGGAATGTCATGAACTCAATCAAATCCTAGATTTTCTAAAATGCATCAAGTGTGAAAGGGATGATGGTACAGATATAGTTTGCAGAGCAGTGGACAGTATTTTGGGTTCTTCTCGGGTTAAAGAAAAGATTGACTTTGACATTCAGTTTTCACTGCTGCTTCTGGATAGAAGACTGCTGAAAAGCAATAATGCTCCATTCGATGATGATGGGACAATCAATGTTTTTGATCCCAATGTTCACTTCGCCAAGGCACCAGCTCAGGGGGATGATATCATATCCTGGTTAACTGACTACAATTCAGTAGATAAGACCTTTCCTAGACCTATCAGGGAACATAATCTTGATATCTGGGTGGCTGTTCTGAGAGCTGTTCAGTTCACATGTAGAACTCTGGAAACCAAATATGCAAAGAAAGTGCAGGTCTTGGATTATTTTTCAGCTCTTACTGTAGTTGAATACTTGTGTATGAGCGAAGATGAAAGGAGAAAGAATCTTCAGGAAGATCAGTGGAACAGCTATGCATCTCTTCTATGCGATATATGCGAAAAGATAGACCCCGAATATTTCCTCACTGCAAAATTATTTGTGTGTGCAGTACAAGATGTTTTCAAAGAAGCTTTGGATCTGACATTTGATTTCCCCGATTTTGAAGATTGCTTGAATCTTATACGTGAGCGTAAAAGTCTCAGCGATGATATAGTGTTGAAGTCCATATCCTTTCTGAAAACACTTACAAATACCAAGGTTCGTCCATGATTTTAAAATTCATTAACAACATAGTGGCATAAATTGCCCATCTTAAAGTATCTACATGACTTACAGGTTATGCTAATCGAATCAAAGATTTTGCTGGTTGATAATTCAAGGATTAGTTTGCTGAACAACCTCACCAGGCTTTCTTCATTTGACAACCGCACTTATATCCTTCAACTACTGAAACCTTTCTTGCTGGTTTGTTTGATGCTTTGGTTATATACAGAGAGATCTCGTTTTCTATTTTATTTGGCCTTTGAATTGTTTCTTATACGTTATTATGTATTTTCTAATCTAGAATGAAATTGTGAATATGGAATCCAAAGCCAAGTCAGATGCAGCAGAAGCAGATCTTTTACTCGAGGAGGAGAGGAAGAATTCAAAGCCAATTCAGATACAGTCAAAGAAGAAGAAAAATAAAAGAAAAAAGGTCTTGGAACAGTAAGTCCCTCAAGAGTCTTTTTCGCATGTTGATAAATTGCTTTCGATTTTTCTCTGAGCCAAATGTGTTCTTACATGCCTAGTAAACCTTCTAGCAACCTTGAACCGGAAAGCACGTCTGCATCACTAAGAAAGGTGGAAGAAGATTCTATGGAACCAGATGACACTCTTTCAAGTGAGAGGGGTCGATTAGAAATCTCATCTAACACTGTCAATCAAGACGAAGGTACCAAAGAGCTTCTCAATTGACGAATACTATCAGTTATATGCAAATTATTATTTCTTTTATTCGCCATCTTCAAGTTATGCCTAGAGAAGATTCACAGTCGGATCATTTAGAGTCAGCTCTTGGAGAAGCTGCAACCAGATACAACTCAGCTCTTGACATGACACTGAAGGTAAAGCAGTTACCAACCTGAACTCTCTTCTTCTGAATCAAATCATTTTTGGAGAAGTTCACAAAAACATGTGGTATTACAGGCCCTTTTGAAAATTCAAATTCTCAAAGAAGATTTGACGCAACCTGTGTGTAATCTCTTTCTAATAGTGAAGCTTGGGAGCAAGAGTTCTCCCCCGAGACGTAGCGGTTAGAGGCCGTGAACTCGGTGATCAAATCTCTTTGTGTTGTTTATTCCGCAAGCAATCGTTTCTAGCAAGTTTTTCTCCACAAGTGGTATCAGAGCTCCAGGCTGAGTGTACGGTTGCTGAACAGAAAAGATTCAAATCTAGGGTTTCAGGATGACTTACAAGACGAGTGATGCTCGGGTTGAAGTGGACCGGTTTGATGGATCAGGTGACTTCTCGTTGTGGAAAGTGAGGATGCTGGCTCACTTTGGTGTTCTAGGGCTGAAAAGTATCTTGAATGATGAGCAGCTGCTAAGAGACCCACCTACTACAGAAGAGGAAGCTGCAGCAGCTGGAAGAGACACTCAAGTGGGCATAGCTGGAGATTTTGAGCTGCCTCCAAACATTGATCCTGCAAAGTTTGAAAAATCAAAGAAGAGCAAAAGTGGCCCATTATATATTCTTATATATCTCGGAAGAATATGTGAGAAGACGGTAGAGAGTTCTAGAAAACGTGAGAAAAGAGAGTTTTCTGAAAAAGTCAGTCTTTGTCTTCTTTGTTGCGTTTCTGATCCAAAGTTCTTCTTGTGTGAGTGTACCTGAAAACCAAAAGAAAACATCACAAGTTTGTGGTGTGTGTAATCTCTTTCTAATAGTGAAGCTTGGGAGCAAGAGTTCTCCCCCGAGACGTAGCGGTTAGAGGCCGTGAACTCGGTGATCAAATCTCTTTGTGTTGTTTATTCCGCAAGCAATCGTTTCTAGCAAGTTTTTCTCCACAAGTGGTATCAGAGCTCCAGGCTGAGTGTACGGTTGCTGAACAGAAAAGATTCAAATCTAGGGTTTCAGGATGACTTACAAGACGAGTGATGCTCGGGTTGAAGTGGACCGGTTTGATGGATCAGGTGACTTCTCGTTGTGGAAAGTGAGGATGCTGGCTCACTTTGGTGTTCTAGGGCTGAAAAGTATCTTGAATGATGAGCAGCTGCTAAGAGACCCACCTACTACAGAAGAGGAAGCTGCAGCAGCTGGAAGAGACACTCAAGTGGGCATAGCTGGAGATTTTGAGCTGCCTCCAAACATTGATCCTGCAAAGTTTGAAAAATCAGAGAAGGCAAAAGATCTTATAGTACTAAACGTGGGAAATCAAGTACTAAGGAAGATCAAAAACTTGTGAGACAGCAGCAGCCATGTGGTCCACACTAAACAGGTTATACATGGAGACTTCTCTACCTAATCGCATCTACTTACAGCTTAAGTTCTATACTTACAAGATGACTGATTCTAAGAGTATAGATGGGAATGTGGATGACTTCCTTAAGCTAGTTACTGATCTAAATAACATAGGAGTAGATGTGACAGAAGAGGTTCAAGCTATTCTATTGTTGAGTTCGTTATCTGACCGATATGATCAGCTCAAAGAGACGCTGAAGTATGGCAGAGACACATTGAGCTTGAATGAGGTCATTGGAGCTGCTAAATCAAAGGAAAGAGAACTCGCAGAAAGTGGAAAGCTTTCAAAATCTCAAAGTGAAGGCCTGTACGTGGAAACAAGAGGCAGATCAGAGAAGAGGTTTGACAAAGGAAAAGGCAAACCGTGGAGAGGACGTTCTAAGAGCAAAGGCAGATCAAAATCAAGGCCAAAGAATAATAAAAACAACAAGGGCTGTTTCATTTGTGGTAAAGAAGGACATTGGAAGAGGGAGTGTCCTGAAAAGTCCTCAAACAAACCTTCAAGTTCAGCAAACATTGCAACAGAGCCAAAGCAGCCTTTAGTACTAACTGTTAGCCCTCAAGACACTAAGGAAGAATGGGTTATGGATTCTGGTTGTAGTTTTCATATTACACCAGACAAGGATTCTCTATTTGACCTACAAGAGTTTGATGGTGGCAAGGTCTTGATGGGTAATATGACTCACTGTGAAGTGAAAGGGATTGGTAAGATTAAGATCTTAAATCCAGATGATTCTATGGTCATATTAACAAATGTGAGGTACGTACCTACAATGGGTAGGAACCTCATTTCATATGGTCAATTAGAGAAGAACGGCTGCAAATATGAAGGGGAAGACTTCATAGTCACTTTCTACAAAGATGGGCAGAAGGTTATCTCTGGAAAATATCAAGATGGGATGTACTATCTACAAGGAAAGGTCGTAAAAGGAGAAGTTGCAGTGGCAAGACCGGATGTTGACATGACCAGCCTGTGGCATTCTAGGCTAGGTCATATGAGTTTGAAGAACATGAATGTGCTGGTTAAAGAGGGTTACTTGTCAGGAAAAGGAGTAGACAAGTTGGACTTTTGTGAGAGTTGCGTACTTGGAAAATCTCACAAGCAAAGTTTCCAAACTGCTAAGCACACCACCAAAGGTATATTAGATTATATACATTCTGATCTCTGGGGATCTCCTTCTACTCCAGAAAGTCTTGGTGGTTGCAAGTACTTTGTAAGCTTCATTGATGATTTCTCAAAGAAAGTATGGGTGTATTTTCTGAAGACTAAGGATGAGGTATTTTACAAATTCAGAGAATGGAAACAAGCAGTTGAGAATCAAACGGGCAGGAAGATTAAGTACTTACGGACTGATAATGGTCTTGAGTTCTGTAATACACAGTTTGACAACTTGTGTAAGGAAGCAGGAATAAAGAGGCACAGAACGTGTACCTATACACCACAGCAAAATGGTGTCTCGGAGAGGATGAACAGGACCATTATGGATAAGGTTAGAAGTATGCTTGCTGAGACAGGATTGGGTCAAGAATTTTGGGCTGAAGCTACTTCTACGGCTGTCTACTTAATCAACAGAACACCGAACTCGTCTATTGGTTTTAAGCTACCTGAGGAAGTCTGGACAGGTACAAAACCAGATTTAAGTCATCTAAGGAGGTTCGGATGTTCAGCTTATGTCCATGTTACTCAAGATAAGACAAGTCCAAGAGCAGTCAAAGGAGTTTTCATGGGATATCCTTTCGGTATTAAAGGATACAGAGTCTGGTTGCCTGAGGAAGGGAAATGCACTACAAGTAGAAATGTGGTGTTTAATGAGAGTGAGCTGTACAAGAACACGCTAAGTAGTGCAGATGGAAGGAAAGACGAAGCTGAAAAAGAGTACAGGAAATTGAAGAAAGCTGAAAAAAGAGTATCTTTCAGCAATGATCTTATAAGAGGTCCTTCTACCAGTTATTCTGATTCGGATGAGGCATCTTCTCAAGGTGGAGAAACTTCCACACCTTCATCAGAAATTTCAGAAAATTCAGAAAGTTCACAAGAATCAGAAACAGATGCGGAAGTTGATGGATCTGAAAATGAACAGTCCCTGGATGATTACTTGTTGGCGAGGGACAGGAAACGGAGAAGTCATATCAGGCCTCCATCAAGATTCGAAGACGCAGATTTCGTAGCTTATGCTTTGGCAACAGTAGAAGACTTGGAAATAGAAGAGCCTAAGTCTTACGAAGAAGCTATGAAAAGCAGTAAGAGAAAGCAATGGGAAAATGCAATGAAGGAAGAGATGAATTCTCATAGAAAGAGTCATACTTGGGATCTAATTGAAAAACCAGAAAAGCAGAAGCTGATTGGATGCAAATGGATCTTTAAATTGAAGCCAGGCATACCGGGAGTGGAGAAACAAAGATACAAGGCCAGACTTGTTGCTAAGGGTTTTTCGCAGCAAGAAGGAATTGATTACAATGAAGTGTTTTCTCCAGTGGTGAAGCATGTCTCTATCAGGTTAATGTTGTCACTTGTGGTTAACATGGATTATGAGCTAGAGCAAATGGACGTTAAAACAGCTTTTCTGCATGGTAATCTAGAGGAAAGGATCCTAATGAGTCAACCTGAAGGATTCATACAAGAGGGAAACGAAAACAAAGTTTGTTTGTTGAGGAAGTCCCTATACGGCCTAAAACAGTCTCCTAGGCTTTGGAATCAGAGGTTTGATGGATTCATGCAGGATCAGAAGTTTGAAAGAAGCAGTTATGACCCATGTGTCTACATGAGAGACACTCAAACTGATAAAGCTATCTATTTGTTGCTCTACGTTGATGATATTCTGATAGCTTCAGGGAGTATGGCCGTTATACAAGAGCTTAAAGACAAGCTGAATAGTGAGTTTGAAATGAAGGATTTGGGAAAGGCTTCAAGAATTCTGGGTATGGATATCATAAGAGATAGAGAGAAGGGTGAATTAATTCTGTCTCAGGGAAACTACTTGGAGAAAGTGTTAAAAACATTTGGAATGTTTGAAGCAAGGTCAGTGATCACACCAACAGCTTCTCACTTCAAACTCAGAAGTTTGTCAGAAGAGGAAAAGAAAACAGAAGCTGTACACATGGAAAGAATTCCATATGCAAGTGCTGTGGGGAGTTTAATGTACGCTATGGTTGGTTCAAGGCCAGATTTAGCATTTGCAGTGGGTTTGATCAGCAGGTTTATGTCAAATCCAGGAAGAGATCATTGGTCAGCAGTGAAATGGGTGTTAAGGTATTTAAAAGGTGCATACACTCAAAATTTGATCTTTAAGAAGGATTCTAAGTTCTGCATTGAAGGGTTTTCAGATTCAGATTATGCGACAGACTTAGATCGGAGAAGATCAGTGACGGGTTTTGTGTTTAAGGTTGGTGGTAACACAATTTCATGGAAATCAAGTTTACAATCTGTTGTGGCTATTTCAACCACAGAAGCAGAGTATATGGCTCTTACTGAAGCAGTGAAAGAAGCCATTTGGTTGAAAGGTTTGTGTTCAGAATTGGGTTTTAAGCAAGACAGTGTTAAGGTTCATTGTGATTCACAGAGTGCTCTAGCCCTAGCAAAGAATTCAGTTCATCACGAAAGAACCAAGCACATAGACACTAAATTTCATTTCATCAGGGATATAGTGTCTAAGGGTGATGTTGTTCTACACAAAATCCACACAACAGTCAATCCAGCAGATTTCCTAACTAAGACGGTACCTGGCCAGAAGTTCCAGCTTTGCTGCGAGCTTCTCAACATCCACTGAGGTGGAGCTGCGGCTACAGGTAACTCCAACAGTCTCGCAAAACAGGTTGAAACAAGATGATTCAGTTTTGTGAGAAGTACTCAAGTGTCAGAATTGAGTAAAGCTTTAAATTGGAGTTGGTGTTACCTGTTAAGTACTGGAACGGTGTAGGAATCACTAGTTCCAGGTGGAGTATCTGACAGAACATTCACAGGAAGAAATTGGGTTAGAAAATCTCATGATGGTTTAGAGATTTGAGAAACCAGTCAAAAGATGGTGATTAAGGACAGCTAATTACCTAAAGGTTTCTGAATTTGGGTTGAAAGGTATATTTCAGGTTCAGGTGGAGTTCTCTAAGAAGCCAGTGATAATCATATGAGGTGATTCAACTGTTAACAAAGAAGACAAGTTGGGTCTTGGTTAAATTTTGAATCACTAAAGAGTTGATTAAGGCAAGAGACATTGGGGTAAGATGCTCACCTGAGGTTGTCGACAGTTGCAGTGAATGGTAAGGCTTGCCAAGGAGGATGTGAAGCTTGCCGGAAAATCTGAAACGGGTTCAAAATTGAAACTCGTAAGCTTCAAGTCTCTGGAAATCAAAGGAATCTACTCTCTGGTTGCTAAATTAGCACAAGAAAGAGAGAGGTTAGAAGTTACCTGGGCTGACCGGCATCGGCGTGGCAAAAATAGAGAACACCGAGAAGAGGCATGGATGAGAGATGGATCTAATGCCTCTTGATTCACCAAAAGAGAGAGCAATCGTGAAATTGGTGAAGAGTATGGTGAATTTCGCCTGAGTTAGCCATTGAAGCTGTCGGATCTGCAACTGATTTCACGAATGGAGGTGAAGATGAGAGGCGAAGAGGATGCTGTGATTCGCCAAATTTGATGGCCGGTGGTGAGGCGAGAGCTCGCCGGAGAAGGAGGAGCAATCGCCGGAGGAAACTGCCGGAGGATGCGTCGATCCGGTGGCATCCAGCTTCACGGAAGAGAGAAAGAGATGGGTTGAGCGTTTGGTATGTCGATATCGTCGAGGTTTGGGTGTGGTTGTCAAAAGGTGGAGATTGTTGTTGGGTTTGACCAACACACACCAAATGGGCCTATTTGGGCCTGACGAAAATAACATTTACAAGAAGAGAAAGAAGAGCAAAAGTGGCCCATTATATATTCTTATATATCTCGGAAGAATATGTGAGAAGACGGTAGAGAGTTCTAGAAAACGTGAGAAAAGAGAGTTTTCTGAAAAAGTCTGTCTTTGTCTTCTTTGTTGCGTTTTTGATCCAAAGTTCTTCTTGTGTGAGTGTACCTGAAAACCAAAAGAAAACATCACAAGTTTGTGGTGTGTGTAATCTCTTTCTAATAGTGAAGCTTGGGAGCAAGAGTTCTCCCCCGAGACGTAGCGGTTAGAGGCCGTGAACTCGATCAAATCTCTTTGTGTTGTTTATTCCGCAAGCAATCGTTTCTAGCAAGTTTTTCTCCACACAACCATTTCAAGACCACCCGGAAGAACATGTTCCTCCTGCTCTACGAAATTTCTTTACTGCTTTTGTGTCAGATGTGATAAATAATGAGGGAGTCTACAGTTGCCTCTTGAGTGACTTACTTGCTTCCCTAGAAGAAGTTATTTCCATGGTTCGTGTGGAGAAGATAAACTTCTAAGCATTCTTATTATTTTTGCTATTGTTATTTTAAAGTTTTTCTATTTTTCTACCCTTTTCAGTCGAGTGGTGCTGCTGAGGTTCTTGTAGCCATCCTTGAGTTTTGGCATTGCTGGAAGAATGCTGAAAGAGAAAGCTTGGTAACTCGCCTTTTTACGTTGGAGGAAAATGAAAGAATGAGTTGTAGAAAGTGCAGAAAGAAACTAAATTACCCGGAGCAAAGTTCTTATGGTATTGTTATGGCTGCAGATTCAATCAGAGACTTGAAGGTATGTTTCATTTATTTCCCTCTCAGTATTTCCTAGAGAAACTAATACTTCCCCTTATAACGTGTTCTGTGCTTATATATATGCAGTGTGGTCTTGGGTATATTGAGTTTGTGGATATCTTTAAGGTGATCCGCATGGAATGTAAAATGTTATGTGACATTAAAACCGGAGGCTGTGGAATAACAAACTTTATTCATCACATTATAAGTAAATGCCCACCTATCTTCACAATTGGTAAGTTTGGACCACCATGATTGTGATCTTATGTACTCATTTCATATACTACGCATATGATAAAGCAAAGTTAGTGTTTTGTGGGTTTGCAACATTAGTGTTAGAATGGGAGAAAAGTGAAACTGAAAAAGAAATATATGAAACAACAATGGCTTTGGACTGGGAGATAGATTTCAGCAGACTGTACGAAGGCTTAGAACCGAAAACTAACTACCGGCTTGTGTCAATGGTAAAACATCTTAAACAGTGTCACAAACTTTTTTACTATTGCTCTTCTGTATCTTTCTCTTCCAGTCTCAGAATATGAGATGTGATGCAGGTTGGTTGTGATAAAGAAGAAGAACACATTTGCATAGCTTATGAAAAGAACTGTTGGGTCAATCTCAGATGAAACAGTTCTCCTTTGTCTTCCTTGAGTTGAATAGTGAATTTGGATAGGCCATACATGACTGACATATATGTGGTGATGCCACAGGATGTTGGTAACTGGAAGAGTGTGGTTAGATTCTGTGGAGAAAGAAAGATTCGGCCAGAAATTCTGTTTTACGAAGTTGTCCGAGCAATGGCCTAACAAGTCTATCAAAATGAAAACCCATCATCGATGTATAAAATAGGGACATGTTTCAATTCAAAAGAAGCTTTTCAATAATTTGATTTGTCTCGATGTACAAAACTCACATCACCAAACGTTACAAGAGAGTTTTGATTAACATTTGGTTCATGTCCACTATTTACTAAACTCTGTCAAGTTGTCTTAATAGCTATTGGAGATAAGCAAGATGTGTATCTTGCGGACCAAGTAATATGGACCATTAAAGTCTATTATGAAGTGAAGCCCGTGAAGCCCAACCCGAAGAATATTCTAGATCTCTATATTACTTCTTGTACAAGTTATTTCCTTATGTGTTTAGGAAAGTTTACATTATGTGGGTGTTAACATTATGTTAATGTTGACACTATATGTATGTATCTTGTGTTCTCATATGAAACACAACTCAATAATATATTCTATTCTATAATATTTGACATGGTATCAGAGCAGTCGATCTTTGTGGATCTAAATTAAACGCTTCTGCACTAAAAATCTTGTGGTCACAATAACCATGGGATGTGAAGCCATCGAAGACGGTGGTGATGAAGACGATCCAGATGATGGCATGAAGCAAAGTTTGCTTTGACGTCCACATGAGGGTTTTATATTTCTTTTATTCTAAGTTAATGTTTTGGTTTTATTTTGAGTTTATGGTTTGATTTAGCCAAGAATTAGAGATCTTTGAAGAATTTTTTTTTAAGGGTTTGGGCTTTCACAAGTAGTTGTTTATTTATGATTTATATTTGAGTTTAGAATATCTCAATTTTTTTATTATGAGTTTTGATTTCTCATATTACGGGGGAGTTTATTGGAACGCTCATATTTTAGGTCATTTTTCTTTAGTCCGGTTTGTGGATTGTCCAAGATAGGACGATTATTTGTGGAGTTGCAGGATTTGCGCCCACGGGATATTTTCCCTTTTACGAAGACCGAAGACGAGCTGAAGTTGTACCCTTTTTTTAAAAAAAGTTTGAAGTTTATACCCTAAGGAGACTGTTGACATGATTTGTCCGTCCTCGACATGATGTCCACGACATAGGTGTTCCGCTTTGTGGTTGCATATTTTGCGTTTCGCGTCCCACCTTTGTCGTGCGGGGGAGTATTGGAGATAAGCAAGATGTGTATCTTGCGGACCAAGTAATATGGACCATTAAAGTCTATTATGAAGTGAAGCCCGTGAAGCCCAACCCGAAGAATATTCTAGATCTCTATATTACTTCTTGTACAAGTTATTTCCTTATGTGTTTAGGAAAGTTTACATTATGTGGGTGTTAACATTATGTTAATGTTGACACTATATGTATGTATCTTGTGTTCTCATATGAAACACAACTCAATAATATATTCTATTCTATAATATTTGACAATAGCCCCTTAGTCAGATTAGAATCTAAAACACTAACTGGTTAGGAAACAAAGTTTTATTATGCAAACCAAACATCCTATAAAATTTTAACAAAAGATGCACTTGATGATATTGGATTCCAGTTTAAGATCAGTAAGAAGAAAAACATATTACATTGGTGGATATAAAGTAACTAAACTTGGAACATAACTTAAGAAAAACGGCCGACAATTAGATTGGTCTGTCTCATAATCTAACTTTTTGGAACCATGCTTTCCAACAATGTATATCATGTTCTTATAGTTCTCCTCGCTTCTGCTTCTGCCAGTGCCACAGCCCACAACAATCACTTTCTTGTCTTCTTCAAAGAAGAAACTTAGAATTCTTATAAAAGGAAGATCACGCAGAGAAACAAAATCGAATGTAAAGGATTTACTCCACGTCAACATAGTTTCAGTATCAATCTTATTACCCACCCATATCTCTATCTTTCCCATATAAAACCTCGAACGTAACACCAAAAGATGCTCTTCTCTAACAACTGATAGAGCAAAAGTATAGAAACCTTCATTTCTCTGTTGTGAAATCAAAACTCACTATATTGAAATAAAAAATGCAAAACCAGTAGGTATTTCCCTTCAAAGACTCGCCTTGTCCATAAATACGTAGATCCAGATCCATGTTGGGAGGGACTTGAGGAAGAACCCTCCATGAATTAGACTTTAGCTCAAAGATTTACAAAAGTTTGCCACCATACGAAATCCTCAAGATTTTGTAGCTATCGTACGATTTCTTGTTATTGTTTTCGTAACCTAGAGCATATATATCATGCTTCGTGTAATCACTTCTTGGTTCGATCCACCTGGTTTGACCAGTACACGGATTTACAACAACAAGTTTGGTCTTGTTGGCCTCTTTCGTGGAACATAACAATAATCCATTGCAGTGAAAAAGTTGTGATATTTCAACTTGTTGGCTATGTTGAGCCGTAAACTCTATAGATGGATCAAAAGCAATATTGTCGTTTTGAATTTCGTTGAGATTGATTCTCAGCGAGTAAACCCTAAAATTACTCCACATGAGAACCAAATTCTGCTTTACTGCTTTATCCAATTGCTTTGTGATGAATTCCGGATCTTTGAATAAAGCGTTCCATCGTTTGCAAGTATATTGTAATCGTCGTACAGATGTAGCCGGAACTCTAGAGAGTATTTCATCTACCAAATCCCATGGAAGATCAAACCTCACCATTGTTTTTACTTGATCTAAAAGAAATCAGATATTAGGTTATAAGCTTTCACGTTTGCCTTTCTTATATAGAAATTAAGTAAAAAACTTATTTTTAAAAACTGGTTAATTGACATTAATTATTTCGAAATTTTCATTATTTTCTTTCATCTTTTTTAAAAAGTTTTTTCCTTTCCTTTCTTATCATTAGTGGTTTTAAAAGCGTTGTAAACGGTTGCTTAAGCGGCAAGCAGACATTAGGTATTTATAAACCCTAGAGATTATCGGTTAAATTTAAGAAATTGAGCGTTTTTTTATATCACCGCTACAATTAGCACATACAGTACGTGGTTTAAATTCGGTTGCATCTTTTAAAATATATTGATTTTGATTTCTAGAGATATTTTCGTTTTCAGCTGGCGTTTGTAAAAAAAAAAAATTTGTTCGAGATCTGCTTTTTATTTTGGAATCGGAATCGGAATCGGAATCGGAATCGGAACTAAAAGCTTCTTCTGAAAATGTGAGAAAGCGTTGTAAAAGCGTAATTCCTTTTAAAAAGTTAAATTGAGAACGTTTTGGAAACGCCGTTTTTGTTTTGGAAATGTTATGATTTTTTTTTTTCATTTTTATAAACATTTTAAAGTAAATAATTTTGAATCATCTGAATATTTTTCGTATTTTCTTAACTTAATTAAAACCCAAATTTTGTTCAATAATAAAAGAATTTGAATCGTTCCTTCTACATTTCTTCATTTCCACGAATATGACATAGAGAATACTAGTGTTGAATTAACTGAACTTATGATGTTAAAATAATATATTTTTAATATGGTTTGATGTTTAGTGTTTTATTATATACTTTTATATATATATATATATGTGTGTATATATAGATATTGACTAAAATAATGTATTTATATATCGATTCCAAAGAAAAAGAAAGGCAAACAAATCGTACAGGAGCAAAAGGATCGAAGAAATATTACGAATATGTGTTTTCGTTAGCGAGTAAGGCGTTTTCGATCAGAACGCATCGTGAATCTTATTTCTTTGTACTTTTTCAGAAGATGACGCACATAGTTGCTTGTGTAATAATAACTTACGTTTTGTAGTCTTGTATGACTTTAACATTATAACTTCGATATAATGGAATGAATTTAGAAGGAAAAATAATATATATATATATATATATATATATATATATATATATCGATTCCAACCCGCTTTCTAATTGTTTCAAGAAAATCGCTTCTACATTTCTAAACACTTTGTTTTTGCATACCGCTTCTAGTTCTATGCAATACAAATTTCTACAAATGCATGAATACAATAAAAAAAAAGATCTCACCATTTCACTCTGAAATATAACACAATAATCAATTTTGATAAAATATTTTTTTTTTAACGTCTGGATTTATTATTTATTGTAATCTATGAAAACTTTTACATAGACGATTCTACCACGGACAATTCCTTCCGACCTTATTAGATCCACGACAAACGATACTTTCTTCTCCATATTTTTTATGGACACCTGCTCTTGCTTAACACCTTCAATGGACCACGATCTGACAACACTTTTCTCTCCGTAGAATCATGGCGAACGACTTTAATTGTATATCGCTGGAGATCTCTTGTATAATTGCCTCCATTAATCTGCAAATTTTTTAATAGATCGTAGTATATGAGATTCGAACCGCAAACCTCTTGATAAAATATTGTTTTAAAAGAATTTTGTTTATTTAAAATATAATTTTTAAACAATTATCTAGGGCAATGTCTATAGACATGTCAAAAAAAATTTGAGTAGAAAAAAATAGATTTATAGCAAAAAAGATTTCGATGCAATAACAAAATGTTATTTGTAACAAATAGTTTTGTTGGTTGAAAAAAAGAAATTTAATAATTATAAAAAATTAAAAAAATTTTGAGGCCGACTCTACCAAAAATATATAAATAATAATAGAAAATTTAAGGTAACTCCATTCTCAAATAAATATTTTTTTTTTTGTCAAAGCATTCTCAAATAAATATTAAAAATTTATCTGGTGAATGTTTAATAGCACACTCGATACTTGTCCACGTCTTAAAAAGAGAGTAGAAAATATAGAAACTTGTCAATCATCTCTCTTGCTACACTTGATTCTTCGAGTCTCTTGTATGCCTCTTACTGCAAAATCTTTCAAAGTCCAAATTTTGATCATCCCCAAACATGAAGACCATTCTACATTTAGGTCTTAACCCAAATTCTAAGATTTACACAACTTTTGGATTCTCATTTTTTCGTGAAAAATTTCAAACGGGTAAAATGCACAGAAGGTGTTCGACAAAATTCCCCAATGATCAAAATTGGGTTTTTTGTTTTTGTTTTTGTTACAAGCGTTGACACGTGGCTCTCACGTGATAAGCTGTTATATTCGTTGATGTTCCCGCTTCGACTCTGTTTCTTCTCGCAAACACATATCTCTCTAAAGCAGAGAGAGACCAAGAAAACGCAAGAACCTTGAGAAGTCGTAGCTATGGAGCAGCCTTATACTTTTCTGCAAGATGTTGAGAGCGTAAAACTCCACGAAAAGGCAAAAGAACTCTTCGCTAATGGAGATCACATCAAGGCCTTGGAGATAATTGAAGATATGATTTTGGTCAATAAGGAAGACAAGAACATATGGTTTCTTCATGCGGAACAAGGTTATATGTTAAAGAAATTATCGGATAAAACAGATAACTTTGACGTAGATTTCACATTTTTGTTGGGTTCTGTTGGATGTTTTTCGGAAGATGTGAAGTTATTAAGATCTTGCGCACATGGATTCTACAGTTTGGCACACCAAATTGAGTCAGTGATGTATTACAAGAAATGTTTGAAGAAAGCAAAACAGGTTTTATCTGTTTCTAACCCGAATGAAGACTCGGGTTCTTCTGTTGCCCAAATGAGTTTGCGATGGAAAGCACATAAGAGCAAAACGGATAAAGACCTGGAGAGTTTAATAAAAAATGCAGAGTCCAAGATTGCTCTTATCAAGACTGGAGGACTGAAGGATTTACTAGAAGAAGAATGTGAGTCAGAAGATTTGGAGTCAAAGAATAGTCCAGAGCCGGCAAAGAACGAGTTTAAAAGCTTGAGGTCGTTTTGGTTAGGTTTGGATGTTAAGGTCAAAAGGGATTTTATGAAAGTAAGCGTTGCAAAGCTTATAAGTTTTGTCGAGGGAGTACATGAAAGACCGGGACGAAATGCTTTGGAGAAAATTCTCGATTCTGCCAGGGAAGACAGAAAATGGACATTCTGGATGTGCCGAACTAAATGTTCGAAGAAGTTCTCTAGTGCTGAAGAATGTAAGAGTCATCTTGAAAGCGAACATGCTGCAGATTTTAAACCTTTGAAAGAGGAGGATAGAATCAAGAGGATAGGGAAAGACTGGGCTCGTAAGATATTGGTTGGAGGTTGGGAACCAGTGGATACAGTAGCTGCCGTTGAAATGATCAAAAATCGGCTCGCAGCTGTGAAAGCGTTTTCATATAAGAATGGATGGTCCAAAGAATGGCCTTTAGCTGTGGATGAAGAGCGCAGTAAGTTACTCAAGGAAATCAAATTCTTCCTTGGGATGTTTTGTGACCTTAAAATTCTCCCTTGCAGTGTTCGAGACTGTGTGATGCAATATCCTTTAAGGCATTTTGGAGAACTTGAAGTTTCCAAACAGAGTCTTGTCGATTCTCACCTAGTGGAAACACCTCAGAGTATATGTTTTCTGGATTGTCATGAACTCAATCAAATCCTAAACTTTCTAAAACGCATCAAGTCCGAAAGGGATGATGGTATAGATCTAGTTTCCAGAGCAGTGGACAGTATCTTGTGTTCTACTCAAGTTAAAGAAAAGATTGACTTTGACCCTCAGTTTTCATTGCTGCTTCTGGACAGAAGACTGCTGAAAAGCAATAATCCTCCATTTGATGATGAAGGAACAATCAATGTTTTTGATCCCAATGTTCACTACGCCAAGGCACCAGCTCAGGGAGATGATATCATATCCTGGTTAACTGACTACAATTCAGTAGAGAAGACTTTTCCCAGACCTATCAGGGAATATAATCTTGATATCTGGGTGGCTGTTCTGAGAGCTGTTCAGTTCACATGTAGAACTCTGGAAACCAAATATGCAAAGAAAGTGCAGGTCTTCAATTATTATGTAGCTCTTACTGACGTTGAAGACTTGTGTATCAGTGAAGATGAAAGGAGAAGGAATCTTCAGGAAGATCAGTGGAACAGCTATGCATCTCTTCTATGCGATAGATGCGAAGAGAGAGTCCCCGGAAATTCCCTCACTAACAAATTATTTGTGTGTGCAGTACGAGATGTTCTCGAAGGCGCATTGTATCTGACATTTGATTTCCCCGATTTTGAAGAATGCCTGAATCTTATACGTGGGCGTAAAGGTCTCAGCGATGATATAGTGTTGAAGTCCATAGACTCTCTGAAATCAGTGGCCACCTCCAAGGTTCCTGCATGATTTTGAAATTCATTAACATAATGACATAAATTGCCCATCTTAAAAGTATCTACATGACTTACAGGGTATTTTAATCGATTCAAAGATTTTGCTGGTTGATAATTCAAGGATTAGTTTGCTGAATGACCTCACCAGGCTTTCTGTTTTTGACAACCGCACTTATATCCTTGAACTGCTGAAAAAGTTCTTGCTGGTTTGTGTAAAACTAAACTTAAACACACAGTGGCTTCTTTTTCCGTCTTATTTTTCCTTTTGAATTGTGTCTTATATGCTACCATGTATCTTCTCATCTAGAATGAAATTATGAATATGGAATCCAAAGCCAAGTCAGATGCAGCAGCTGCCTCATCTTTTACTCGAGGAGGAGAAGAAGTTACAGTCAACGAAGAGGAAAAATAAAAGCAAAAAGGTCTTGGAAGTTCTAAACTCTCAATTTTCTTTTTTGAATATGTGGTAAATCGGTTGTAACAATGAATGGTCTTCATGGCGCAACAGAAAACGTCAACGAGCACCTCTAGTTCTCTTTCTAAGACCGGTGAACAGTAAGTACCTCAAGAGTCTTTTGCGCATGTTGATAAATTGCTTTCGGGTTTTCTCTGAGCCAAATGTGTTCTTACTTGTCTAGTAAACCTTCTGACATCCTTGAACCGGAAAGCACGTCTCCATCACTAGGAAAGGTAGAAGAAGATTCTATGGAACCAGATGCCACTCTTTCACGTGAAACGGGTCGATTGGAAATCTCATCCAACACTGTCAATCGAGAGGAAGGTACTAAAGTTGAGTCTGGTTGTAAAAGAGCTTCTCACTATCAGTTATATGCATAATTCTTATTTCTTTTATTCGCCATCTTCAAGTTATGCCTAGGGAAGAATCACAGTCGGAACATTTAGAGTCAACTCTTGGAGAAGCTGCAACCAGATATAATTCAGCTCTTGACATGACACTGAAGGTAAAGCAGTTACCAACCAAAACACTATTCAATACCTAAACTCTCGTCTCCTGAATCAAATCATTCTCTTTGAGAAGTTCACAAAAACATGTTGTATTACAGGCCCTTTTGAACATTCAAATTCTTAAAGAAGATTTGATGCAACCATTTCAAGACCACCCGGAAGAACATGTTCCTCCTGCTCTACGAAATTTCTTTACTGCTTTTGTGTCAGATGTGATAAATAATGAGGGAGTCTACAGTTGCCTCTTGCGTGACTTACTTTCTTCCCTAGAAGAAGTTATTTCCATGGTTCGTGTGGAGAAAATAGAAGAATGCTGAAAGAGAAAGCTTGGTATTATTATTATTTTTTTTCTGTAAGCTGAATTTCTTATTTTAATGTTTTTCTCCTTTTCTACTCTTTTCAGTCGAGTGGTGCTGCTGAGGTTCTTGTAGCCATCCTTGAGTTTTGGCATTGCTGGAAGAATGCTAAAAGAGAAAGCTTGGTAACTCGTCTTTTTACGTTGGAGGAAAATGAAAGAATGAGTTGTAGAAAATGCAGAAAGAAACCAAATTATCCAGAGCAAAGTTCTTATGGCATTGTTATGGCTGCAGATTCTATCAGAGACTTGAAGGTATGTTTCATTTATTTCCCTCTCTATGTTTCCTACAGAAACTAACTTCCCCTTATAAGGTTGTTATGTGTTTATATATATATGCAGTGTGCTCTTGGGAATATAGAGTTTGTGGATATCCTTAAGGTGATTCAGATGGAATATAAAATGCTATGTGACGTTAAAACAGGAGGCTGTGGAATAACAAACTTCGTTCATCACATCATAAGTAAATGCCCACCTATCTTCATAATCGGTAAGTTTTTGACCACCATGATTGTGAATTTATGTACTCATTTCATTTACTATGCTTATGAGAAAGCGATGTTGGGGTTATGTGGTTTTGCAACTTTAGTGTTAGAATGGGAGAAGAGTGATACAGAAAAAGAAATATTTGACACAACAAAGGCTTTGGACTGGGAGATAGATATCAGTAGACTGTACGAAGGCTTAGAACCAAAAACTAACTACCGGCTTGTGTCAATGGTGAAACATCTAAAACAGTATATTTTTGCTATTTTCTTCTGTATTTTTTTAGTTACAGTCTCAGAATGTGGGATGTGATGCAGGTTGGTTGTGGTGAAGAAGAAGCAGAACACGTTTGCATAGTTTATGAAAAGAACTGTTGGGTCAATCTCAGACGTGATGCTTTAACCGGAGAGGTAAGACGAAACAGTTGATTTTGTCTTTCCTTGATTTGAGTTAGATAGAACAAACATGATTGATGCATTGGTGGTAATGGCATAGGATGTTGGTAACTGGAAGAGTGTGGTTAAATTCTGTGGGGAGAAGAAGGTTCGGCCAGAGATTCTGTTTTATGAAGCTGCTGCCCGCTCGATGTCCTAACTAACAAGTGACGGAATTGTATCAATATGGAGAAACCAGCTACATGTTACAATTCGAAAGAAGTTTTGTTCTCTGTTCTATAATATGATTTGTCTTGGAAACTACATTTGTTCATCTACACGTCTACAGTTGTTCATGTACATACATAACAAGCAACATGAGAGCCTTATGCATAACCAAAGACACATCAATCGAAATAACCGCTTTTAACCGGCTCGGTTTGTTCGTTGGTTCATTCTAATGTTTCAAATCTTGCTCTTAAGCACAAAACCGAAGCCTCTCTGTCACTGAGAGTTTCCCAGTCTCTGTTTCAACTTTCAACATATAAACAGTGTATTTGTTGTGTGTTTGTTTTCTCAATCAATTTGATTGAGATTTCTGATTTTTGGTAAGAAAGTTACAAAATTTTATCTATATTTTATAAGAGGAGAGAGTATATAATATACAGATGCGAATGAACAATTTGAAAACACCAACAAAGTTGTTTATTTTGGAAAGCAAATGCGATTCACAAGGACAGTATGGAGACCTCAATCTTTGGAAAATTTCAAACTTAAGTTTTGTATATACGCAAATGAACTTGGGAATGTTGTGTCGTGGACAGCGATGATTAGTGGTTTCTTACAGAATGATGAGAAGCGGTGGATGTATATTGGAAAATGAAGAGGAAAGGTGTTAGACTGAATGAATTCACTTATTTTGTAATTCTCACAGCTCTTCCTTCAATTTCTCCATCAGAGGTTCACGCACAGATTGTACAAGAGATCTTCAACTGTTGGAATCTCTCTTTTATATGCTTATGTAAAGTAGATGAGGCTGCAAAAATTTTAGGCATTGTTGATAAAGACATTGTTGCTTGGTCAAAGATGCTTGCAGGATTTGCTCAGACCAGAGAGACAGAGGCAGCTATAAAGATGTTTAGCAAGCTCACACACAAAGGGAGGGATAAAACCAAAGTTCACATTGTCTAGCATTCTCAATGTGTGTGCGGCTACCACAGTGGCTATGGGACAGGGAAAGCAATTCCACGGGTTCGTTATAAAATCAAGACTAGATAATTATCTAGTATCCATGTGTTAGTAGTGTTATTATAACTTAAGAAATAACACAGAAAACCTTATCTTCAGATTCAACATTGACATGTACATAATGCTCTGTTAAAATTGACCATTCTGTTTGGATATGATGTGACAAAATACCTTCCTTATTCCTCTGCCAACAGCCTCACTGTCGTCGCCCTCATTAACTAGAGAAAAATGCAAGCCTTAAATCTCAAAGGTGTAGGAAGAAGCCTCTGAAACAATGTCACTGTTAGAGAACTCCAGTAGCTCGGTAAGTAACGAATCCATGCACTTCTCTACCTATAAAATCCAAGAGTCAACGAGGTGTCCATGATGAGGTCTCTCGCAATCAATTTAAAGCATTTAGGGAAGTTGAGATAAATGTAAATTGTGAAATCTAGTTAGGGACTAATCAATATTATCCACATGGGTAGTAGTGAGTTTTATACATAAGAATACTCAGAATTGTTTAGAGAGAAAAAGGAAAAGCATTTATAAAGGAGCTAAACATACAGACTCACAGAACCAGTGAGAGCCGTTGAACAAATATAAAAGGCAACTATTTCAAAGACTTGTCTTACATACCTTTTATTAGGTATGATCCATTATTTCCACTAATAATAAGGAGATTACATGTCGACCTTGGGCTGAAGTGCCTCTAGCTTTGAGTACACTTTCAATCTCCGCAATTTATGAAGGAATTTTATAAGCGAGAGAGCTCCATCAGACTTGGGCACTAGTGTAGTTTCCACTGAAGGAGGAGAAATATATAAATTTTCTTTGAATTCAATAGAAGAGACTCCCGTCCACAATGAGTATCCATCATAACTTAACTGATAACTTACTAGTGATATTCCAAATACAAGGGGGGAGCTGCACCAGACTTGAACACTCAGCAAGAAATATCTTGAGATTAGGGATATTTCCAAGAGAGGTGGGGATAGTCAACAGGCTTGAGCAGTACTCAATATCCAGAATCAATAGATTAATATCGCATTCCCAATTGAAGAGGGTAGCTCCAATAACCTTGAGCAATGATTGAGATCCAAACTCACCAGATTAGTGGCGGTTGAGAGATCAGGAAGCTCCTTCAGGTTTTTGGAATAACTCAAATCCACCCACCTGAGATTTTGAAGAGGCTGCCAAAAAAAAAAACACACAACATACAAGGAAATTACAATGAGTAGTGAATATATGCATAAAAAATACTGAGACAAAACATGCTTCTATGCCATCAAGTTTTAATTGACTAAAAAAAGGTGAGTGTTAATATCACTTGTTTTTTTTTTTTCATCAAATTTTGACAAAAGGTGTTACAAACAGATTGTGCATTTTGAAATAAAACCAAATTCAAATTATACGAGAGAAATAATTTTTACTCACTTGAACTCCTTTCCACAGCTTCTTAAGTTTGCTGCAACGCATGTTTAGTTCGACGAGGAACTCCGGAATAAAAGTAGAAGGCAAACATGTCATTGGAAAATGTTCCCAATGCAGTAATCTAAGTTTTGGAGATATATATTTCAGACTTTGTGGAGAGTACAATCTACAACCATTATAATTTTCAACTTTTCTGTAGATTCTTAAGAATTGGAGATTCCACATTCTTTCGAAACATTTGCCGCTAATATGAAATTTACCGTTGATTTCAGATAAGTCGAGATCCATGCCTACAAGACTATTACTACCCTGAAAATTATCAGATGAAATAAGAGTTATCAATTGAATTTAGTTTGGAGGGAACAAGGCAATGAAGGAATAATATGAAAACTTACAGTTTCCTTAGTGAGTACTTCACAGATCTCTCTAGCATTGATAATAAAAGATTTTAAAAGATTGTTAAAAAGTTTTATATTATCTTGATGATTTATTTACCAAAATCTTGTAAAGTCTTTAAAACTTTTTTCCATAATCTTGTATACTCTTGATGACTTTTCCAAACTTTTCCTACAAAATATTTCCAAAATCTTGTCCAATTTTTATTAACGTCTAGTGACCATCTTCTATCTTCTATATAACATGTTCTGTGTAGGCCTGGTTTTCTTCTATATACTAGGTTGTTTATCAGAGTTACAGAGGTACGCTTCTTCTATCATAATACTCGCTTATGAATTTCGTGTGTCGATCGTTAGATTCTTGTATGTTCATATAATATTTAATTGTTTTCATTGTCTTTGGATCTTTTGATTCTCTAGCACCAAAATCTATAAAATTTGCAAAAGTCAAGTGATGTGATACGTTTGGTTTAATAATATATACATGCGGAGATTTGCTTATGCTGTGATACGTTTGGTTTTGTGACAAGTCAATGGTCTTTTTTTTTTGATACGTTTGATTTGCTTATCATGATCATAATAATTCATAAGTGTAGATGTGATACGTTTGGTTTAATATTAGGATGTTTGAATGTGAAAAAAATGTCAATAAGATTTGCTTAGTCAAAGATAAGTTGTTTGAATATCGGACATCCTTATGTTTTATATTCATCTGTAACAAATGCTTTTAGTCAATGGGAGATTCCCAAAAGAGTAAGGAAAAGGGTCCATACAATCAATGGGGACCAGAGGAGACAAAATTGTTGGTAGAGTTACTTGTTGATGCAGTTCACCGAAATTGGCGTGATAATAGCGGTATCTTTAGCAAGCTAACGGAGTTGATATAAGTTTTTATTTACCAGAGAGTTGTACTAATTTGGTTCTTCGATTTTGCGGTTTTGAGTCTTGATAGTCTTGTTTTTGCTTCATCTTCTTCCTTTGATATCTTCTGATTCAGACCTCGGTTTGGAGATCTAAAAGTTGTTCTGAAATCTTGAGATCAAGATATTTCCAACCGTATAAAGATAAGCTTCTGATTCCTTGTGAGTCGACTTGAGAAAAAGTTTGAAGTTGGTGCACTTCAGCTTCGTCGCTCTGTTCTTCGGTCTTGGTAGATTGGTCATAACTTTCAGACCGTGACAGCAAATCACGTTCCGCTTTTTCCTGTAGCTTCGTATATCTCTCTACTATTTTTCAACAAAGTTTCATATTTTTCTGGGTTGTTTTGATAACCCTTTCAGTCTTTGAACCAGAACACGTCTGTTCTGTTATCCTTCTTCTTCTTTTTTGGTTTTCTTGTTTTTTGTCTTTGTCTTTGTCATCTATTTGTCCACCGCTTCATCCTCTTGAATATTCGCAATTTGGTCCATTCATTCACCAATCAAACACAAACCCAACAAATAGAAAACTGTTTATTAAGCGAAGACAAATAAATGACCAAGACAAAGACAAAAAACACAAACAGATCATATCATCTCATAAACAGATGTCTTTGTCTCCTCCATTCCCCAATTTTGGAACTTGAAATTGCTGGAGAACAGGAGAAGCAGCGACGGAGACGATTCCGGTGTCAAAGATTGCTGACACATACAAAGTCATGGACTCTATTCACAATCTCTCTATTTTATGGGAGAGTTTTCATGACTTTTTTTATGAAGAAAATTATATAAAATCCTAAACCAATAACATAATATTTTAATTTATCAACAATCCAAGATTCTTTTGTTTTAATTGAATAACACAAAACTTTTAATGACTCTATAAAACTCTTAATCCAATAACACTAGATTTATAAAGATTTTAGATTACTTTTTATAAATCTCAAACCAATAACACCAAATTGTAATAGAGTTTTTAAAAGTCTTGATTGAATAACAACATATTCTACATAACTTTTAAACTCATTAAAAGTCAATGAAGGAATAATATGAAAACTTACAGTTTCCTTAGTGAGTACTTCACAGATCTCTCTAGCATCAACCAAAAATTGGCGTTTCCCAGGCAGATTGATTATGAACAATTTCTCTACCTAGTTCTACTAACAGATTAGGCATCTTTATAAATCCATGTTCCCGTGATATGAGTGACTTTCCAGCTAAGATTTGAATCCCGTGACTCTTCCAAGAACGTATTCGCAAGAAAATCTTCAAGTGTCTGAATACTTTTATGGTTGAAAAAGCAAGCTATATAAAGAAATAAATCTTTATCTTCATCGCATAAGGCGTCATAACTGAATCTTATAATACTCTTGATATCTTGGTGAAGCCTAGTTCTCAACCTTGGTAGTGCATCGATCCACTCCTGCTTGGACATTCCCCGAAAATAGGAGCCCATTACACTTAACCCCATCGGGAGATTCCCAGAAAGTTGTGTAACTTCCCATGCAAGCTCCTCAAAACCATCTTTAGGGGACTTTTGACCAAAAGCATTCAAGCAGAAGATTTGAAGTGCCTCTTCATCAATTGGATAATCCACCTTGTAATTATGATCAATCCCATGTGCCTTCAAGAGTTGTTGGTCTTGCGTTGTTATGATAATCCGACTTCCAGAACCAAACCATTGAGTTGTTTTCGCCATAGCATCTAGTTGTACTAACCGATCCACATCATCAAGAACGAGAAGCACTTTCTTATTTTTCAACCTTTCCCGTGCCACATCTAAGTGACGTATCTTCAAATCCTTTTGATTTAATGTCTCAGACAAAAGTTTTCCCTGTAATTGCAACATGTATTCATAGTAGTCGCAGTTTTGTACTGTATAGACTCCTTTTATACTCACCATAAATGCAGTATGAGAGAAGTTACTACGAATTGTTTCATATAAGGCTCTAACGATGGTCGTCTTACCAATACCCGCATGACCCCAAACCCCTACCATTCTCACTTCATCACATTCTAGGCATAACAAAGTCAGCATCTTTTCCATGTGAGCTTCAATCCCAACCAAGTCTTCAAAGTAGTTTGATGGGCAAAAATTATTTAGTGCATTTGAAACGTTGGTCGCAATATTTTCGATCATGTCCGCTTCATTAAACCTAAAAATGAATATATTAATGTTAAACCATTTTAAAAAGATTTTGTGCGAAAGAACCCTCTAACTCGCCAATATTTGCAACTTTATCATCAACCACAAAAAAACTGCAAATTAATCATACGAACTCAAAAATGATATGCAATATAACTCTTTTTTGCTACCATCAAGTTTGTAAAATTGAAGCCCTCGCGACGATAAATTAAACTATGTCTTTAGAATTTTGAAAATCTAATGTATGTGACCGTGAAAATGTTTACAATATACGTATAAAGGTTATATTACGTATTATTTTATAGTCCGTATGATTAATCTGCATTTTTTTTGAAGAAAAGTATAAAATTGCAAAAATTGGTGAGTTTGAAGGTTTGTTTACATAAAAACTCCCAAAAAGTATAGATCTATGGGTCAATTATATAATATAAGTGACCGTGTATGCGTCACTAATAATCATTTACATTGTAAGGGCTACAAATAATCATTTACGACTCTAGTTGCAAGAATCTATCTTTGAAAAAAGTAAAAGTGGAGATTAAGAAAGCTAACCAGTTGCTTGAATGATGACCAGCAATTGTTGCCACTTCTGCCAAAGCCTCTTTCCATCTTCTAATGTCTTCTTTTGTTTTACCCTCACAAGTATTTATGAAGACCTTCCCAAATTTTCCAGTTTGCTTCTTTACATCAGTTGGATCCACTTTATAGAAAATGGTCATCACGGTTTGACCAAACTCTTTTCTACAATTCATAACCTCCACCAATTCATTCAGGCACCATGTCGAAGAAGCGTAGTTCTTCGAGAGCAAGACGATTGTGATTTTCGATCCTCTGATAGCTTCTACGAGTTCTGGACCGATCGATTTGCTTCTCTCGATATCATTATCAATGAATATGTCGATTCCCTTTGCTTTGAACTCCTTGAGAACGTGACTGAGAAAGTTGTTGCGAACATCTGCTCCGTGGAAGCTTGGGAAGACATCGTGTATCCAACTGCGAGACGAAGGATAAAGAGCCATGAAATGAATAGGATTCGAGAGGTTAAAAGTCTTTTTAGAAACCAATCTGCATAATGAAATGGAAAAGGTTTTAAATAGCTGCACAGGAATATTCAAGTAAATTTCCGGTAAGAGCCTAAGAGGAAATAGTAGTTCTACTAAATTTGTTATCATCCCTTTACTTTCGATTTCTTACAAATTATCCCAAATATAAAATTACACAAAACATTTATATTCAAATTGGCAACAGACCAAACAGAAACATTTCCTAAGTGATCAATTTTATTTTATTTTTGTATTTAGGACATTAATCTCAAACCAAACTAAATCAAACCCAAACCAAACTTGTTTTAAACAAAATTCTTATCATTTACAAGAACTTCTTGGATGTTGAAAAGAGCTAAATTTGTTACAACCAAAAGATATTGGGACATTGCGATAATCCCTTATAATGTGGATCAAGTCAGCGATCAAGGTCCGACACAAAAGAGTTGACTTGTGAGATAGCAATGTGAAAATAAAGGGAAAAGTAAACCAAAGAAAAAGTCTATTTAGACAACAATAAAAGGGTGTTAATATATTAGAGAATGGCCATCCAGCAATATATAATTAAGGTGAATAGCAATATATTCTAGATTAGTAAGTAGCACATTTTGTGCTAATATCTATAGCAAGTTGATTAGGTATTTAATGGAAGTATTCGCACGAAAAGAAACAGGGTATTTGATGGAAGTCAACATGAGCAATGACAATTTCACCTTTAATCTAATGAATACCAAACCAAAACGGACCAAAATATGGATTGAAAACTACAAAACATCTTTTTTTTTTTTGCTTTCTCCACTACAAGAAATATGATCATTGATAGTACATTATAATAGCTCATTTTTCAAAACCGCTATTAAAGATGAAATGTTGGATGATGTTATCATATGATAGCATTTCAAAAATACTAACCACGAAAATGAGTAGCGGAATTAACCATATTTTTAGCGTAATTTCAGAAGATGTGTCGTTATCAGCTAGTTTAGTGTCCGAGGTTATTATATTGTTAAGATGAGGCTTTAATTTTCCCTTAAGTTATAATAATAATATTATATCATCGATCGATATGAGAAACAAAAAAAAAAAAAAAAAAAAAAAAACAGAAAACGACTTTTACGTCGAGGTGTATATTAGGCCACACGCAGTGGTGCAACCACTCGGCGGGTGTGAGTATTAAACAATAGAGAAATAATGTAAAAAGTTGCTTTTCAACAAAACTTGAGTGTATAATTGCATTCGGGTGTGAGGCTTTTTAAAAAGGGAAAAAATTTTATTTTCTCTATCTCTCTCCTCTCTCTCTCCACATGCCAATTCTCCTCCTCTCTCTTCGATAAATTTTATAATAAATCTATTATTAACACCTATCCTCATGGATAATTTGAAAACACCAACAAAATTTCGGTTCGTTATCTTCAATACCAAATGCGATTCGCAACGACAACATGGAGACCACAATCTCTGGAAAAGTTGAAACCCAATTTTCGAATTTATTGCTTTGGCGCTGCTTCCTCCTCTCGTTTATATTATGCACACAACCTGTTCGACAAAAGTCCTGACCGAGATCGGGAAAGTTATACAAGCTTGCTTTTTGGGTTCTCTCGTGATGGACGAACTCAAGAAGCAACGAGACTCTTCTTGAATATCCAACATTTGGGGATGGAGATGGACTGTTCAATTTTTTCCTCTGTTTTAAAAGTTTCTGCTACTTTGTGTGATGAGCTTTTTGGTAGACAGTTGCATTGCCAGTGTATAAAGTTTGGGTTTTTAGATGATGTGAGTGTGGGAACATCGCTGGTTGATACGTATATGAAAGGTAGTAACTTTAAGGATGGAAGGAATGTTTTTGATGAAATGAAAGAGAGGAATGTTGTTACTTGGACTACGTTGATAAGCGGGTATGCGAGGAATTCGTTGAATGAGGAAGTTTTGACATTGTTTATGAGAATGCAGGACGAAGGGACTCAGCCGAACTCGTTTACTTTTGCAGCTGCTCTTGGAGTTTTGGCTGAAGAAGGAGTGGGTGGGAGGGGACTTCAGGTACACACAGTTGTTGTAAAGAATGGTTTAGATAAAACGATTCCGGTTTCTAATTCTCTGATTAATCTGTATCTCAAGTGTGGGAATGTTAGGAAAGCTAGAATTTTGTTTGATAAAACAGAAGTAAAGAGTGTGGTTACTTGGAATAGTATGATTTCGGGATATGCAGCTAACGGGCTTGATTTAGAAGCGTTGGGAATGTTTTACTCTATGAGGCTTAATCATGTGCGGTTATCTGAATCGAGCTTTGCCTCCATTATCAAGCTCTGCGCTAACCTTAAAGAACTGAGGTTTACGGAACAGCTCCATTGTAGTGTTGTAAAATACGGGTTTGTGTTTGATCAAAATATAAGGACGGCTCTAATGGTAGCGTACAGTAAATGTATGGCGATGCTTGATGCTCTTAGGCTGTTCAAAGAGACAGGATTCCTTGGGAATGTTGTGTCGTGGACTGCGATGATTAGTGGTTTCTTGCAGAATGATGGGAAAGAGGAAGCAGTAGGTTTATTTTCGGAAATGAAGAGGAAAGGTGTTAGACCAAACGAATTCACTTATTCTGTCATTCTCACAGCTCTTCCTGTAATTTCTCCATCAGAGGTCCACGCACAGGTTGTAAAGACTAACTACGAGAGATCTTCAACCGTTGGAACCGCTCTTCTAGATGCTTATGTGAAGTTAGGTAAAGTAGATGAGGCTGCAAAAGTTTTTAGCGGTATTGATAATAAAGACATTGTGGCTTGGTCAGCGATGCTTGCAGGATATGCTCAGGCTGGGGAGACAGAGGCAGCTATAAAGATATTTAGCGAGCTCACAAAAGGAGGGGTAAAACCGAACGAGTTCACATTTTCTAGCATCCTTAACGTGTGTGCGGCTACCACCGCGTCTATGGGACAGGGAAAGCAATTCCACGGGTTCGCTATAAAATCAAGACTCGATAGCTCTCTGTGTGTTAGTAGTGCTCTTCTAACCATGTATGCAAAGAAAGGCCACATTGAGAGTGCGGAAGAAGTCTTTAAAAGGCAGAGAGAGAAAGATCTGGTATCATGGAATTCGATGATCTCTGGGTATGCACAACACGGGCAAGCTATGAAGGCTCTCGATGTTTTCAAGGAGATGAAGAAGAGAAAGGTGAAAATGGATAGCGTAACATTCATCGGAGTATTTGCTGCTTGTACACATGCAGGGTTAGTAGAAGAAGGCGAAAAGTATTTTGATATAATGGTGAGAGACTGCAAGATTGCACCTACAAAGGAGCATAATAGTTGTATGGTGGATTTATACAGCCGAGCCGGGCAACTTGAAAAGGCTATGAAGGTCATAGACAACATGCCAAACCTGGCTGGTTCCACCATTTGGAGAACAATTCTAGCTGCATGCCGAGTGCACAAGAAAACAGAGCTAGGGAGATTAGCTGCAGAGAAGATCATTGCGATGATACCTGAGGATTCAGCTGCATACGTGTTGTTGTCTAACATGTATGCAGAGTCGGGAGATTGGCAAGAGAGGGCCAAAGTAAGGAAGCTGATGAATGAGAGAAACGTGAAGAAAGAACCTGGTTACAGTTGGATTGAGGTCAAGAACAAGACTTACGCATTCTTGGCTGGTGATCGGTCTCATCCTCTCAAAGATCAGATCTATATGAAGCTGGAAGATTTAAGTACACGGCTGAAGGATTTAGGGTATGAGCCGGATACTAGTTATGTGCTTCAAGACATTGATGATGAGCATAAAGAAGCTGTTCTTGCTCAACATAGTGAGAGATTAGCTATTGCTTTCGGGTTGATCGCTACACCAAAGGGAAGCCCTCTTTTGATCATTAAGAACCTTAGGGTTTGTGGAGATTGTCATGTAGTTATCAAATTAATTGCAAAGATTGAAGAAAGAGAGATCGTAGTTAGAGATTCAAATCGGTTTCATCACTTTAGCAGTGATGGAGTTTGCTCATGTGGAGACTTTTGGTGATTAGAAATCATTGTTCAGAACATTTTTTTACACATTTCGAGAAATAAAGCAAATTCAATGTTTTTGGGATGAAATCAAACATGGGTTTGAGATTTTGTTTTGCTTCTCAGTACATACATAAGGAGAAAGTGAAGAGACTAATAATAATATGATTGTGAAAGATGCTTGATGGAATGTCAAATCTATCAACCTTCTTCTCCAAACTCCTGTGTGAATCTCTCGTGGACATCAAGGTCAGACTTGCTCACTGTTGGCTTTTGTCTAGCAAGTACCTTTTCGAAATCGGTTCTGGTGATTGGTGGTGGAATAATCTGTAGCAATTTAGTCACATAAAAAAACACAAATCAGGCTTTAGTTTCACATCATCCAAAGCTTAATGACTACGAAAACCAAGAAACTCAGTATCATATGACCTAATGAACTTTGCAAGCACAGCTGTGCATACTCATGCTAAAAGTTTGTATCGTCCAGCAGATTTATGAGAAGATTAAAACACAAAACCTCATGATAGAATTTACACGTTTGATACGTACCTTTTCGGCAAGCCCTTTTGCTGCTAGATCTTGCATTGTAGTCTGGATGGCACCAGGGTGCCTAGGCCCACATGGCATCCATGTACCATCAGGAGACTTGAAAAAGAACATTGCATCTTGAGTTTTACGAACAGGTTCAAACAGAACATCTTTTACCTGCAAAAGTCAAAAAATATTCTTGAGACAAAGGCTTATCTATCTATAGCAATATAGAGGGAAATTAAGGACAATAAGAAATAACTCAGGCCAAGTCACGTACACAAACAGACACATCTGAACCAGAAAACCCTTCTGTCTTTTGGCCTAAATATTCAAAATCAGGTTCAGTTAAATTATGAGGTGTATCTCCCAAATGGACCTGCATTTACAAAACAGATCTCATTAGTAAACTGGTTATGTCTCCCTTGAATGTTTTTTACTTGAGGAACTTGAAGCAAATGAATAATACTTTGAACATGTGCTGGCGAGCCTTGGCCTCTGGGAGAGGAATATAGATACGCTTGTCAAAACGTCGTCTAATAGCCTGAAATTAACATGGTGTTAGCAAAACAGTATTTAACTGGAAAATAAAATATAGATCCAAGCCATCTTATGACTTTTCACCTGATCAAGAGCATAGGGTGTGTTGGTCGCTGCAAGTACAAGTACTTTCTCATCATTGTGTCCAACACCCTAAAAGAAACAGAGATAAGTATAGAGAAAAAAAGTTTCTACTAAAATGAATGACAGAGAGTTCAGTTTGGATAAGCTTTGCACCTGCATCTGCACTAGAAGCTCTGTTTTGATACGTCTTGAAGCTTCACTCTCGTTTCCTTCTCCACGTGTACCGCACAAAGAATCTATCTCATCAACAAAAATAATCGATGGAGCA